CCACCACCCCAAAAAAATCTGAGCTATAGTAAGTAACTTAGATGCACCCACCAAACTCCTCCCACTGGAAATGTAAGATCTGTTCACTATTCTTAGATACAGTTAGTTCAAAACATGGTGGCACAGACTCCCCCGAATGTCCCAACCATCTTCCCAACTTTCACTTTTTCTGCTTTTATTTAACCAATAGTGGTAACTATCCAAACTTGAAGCAATGCAAATGAAATAAAATGACTGATCCCTTTGTGGCCTATGAGGCTAAAAGAGACACAAATGCACATGAAAATCACACAAAAAGCCCCAGCAGATAAAACATGAACTGACTGGCTGCCCTGCAGCTATAAAAGCCTAACCAGTACTCTGACCTAGAGAGCACGATGTAGGAAAACCCCTAGTCCCCGGAAACCCAAAAATCCAAACACAAGGTCACTGTTACGCCCTTCAGAAAGTTCTGCCAAGAAAGATCTTTTGCGCAGTTTAATCAAGGGGGCAATTTCCTTCCAAGCACACGTAAATCTTCAGCTCGAAGTAATTAACCCCACACATAGCGGGCCCTCTAATGGGTGTGTGAGAATGAACAGACACATATGCCATTCCCAGCCTAACACAAATGAAGGAAACTAAATGGATTCTAAACTTGCCCACACATCTGTGATTTACAAATATTTATAGTATTCATAAGGCCAGCAACCTTCAGGACAATAACTTTGCAGCCACTCACTAAAATAAATATGTGTGTGTGTGTGGGGGGGGGGGGGTGGATCCCATACACACAAGGAAAGAAGGGAAGAGAGTAAGGTCTTGGGAAACCTTCCAGATGAGAATTCCGGTGCATCCTAATGCAGAGAATGGACGCAGACAGTCCTCCGGTCAGTGGACTTGCCTCATGCAAAGGGAATGCACATAACACAACAGATCAGATCTGCATGGGCCCTTCCAGGTCACCTCACAGAGATTTTCCATCAAGCAGACTAGACAATAGGGCAGGAATAAGAAGCAGAGTCCATGGCTTTAGCATTTCCGACATTATCAAGAATGACAGGCTAAACCTTTATCCCACAATACAACCACACAGCGTGTGTAAGCAAGTAATGTACCCTTATCCACAATATGCATAGAAATAAAGAGCAAATGCCACAAAATGAAATTCTTATCAGCACAATGTCATCAACTAAAACACCACCAAGGCAGTCAGCCACTTTTTCACATGTAATCCCTGTCTCCGGAAACTCAGTCTGTTTCTCGTTGTCTATTCCCAATCTCAGATGACATCCTCTCCTTTTTCTTATTTTACAGCCAAGAAATCTAGAAAACCAAGTAAAGTACAGACGGAGAACTGAGTTATAGCTCAATCTGTCCAAACCCAGATGGATTTTCAACTCAGAAAGAGAAATCTAGCAAATTCTCTATAATTTGGAACCATTACGTCAGAAACGTCATAACCAGTTAATATTTTAAGTGAATGCTCTAAATGCAACAAACAAGGACATCAATCTACACATCACATATATTTGACCAGTGTTGCCTGGTCTTCTGGACACACCATATACCATTTAATGCAAACACCGAACTTTAGGTATAAAAATAAAATAAGAGAAAAAACACTGTGATAATGACTTATTAATGTTCAACATAACAGGTTAAGTACTATTAAATCAAATACATTATGCGACTCTCTATGGAGCATGCCTGCAAGACCTTCCCCCCAGGTGCATTTTCCTTGCCTCTTCTTTTTCATTAGCTCCAAAAACCCCTTCTTTTGCCTCTGTAACTTGCTAAATAAACTTTCTGTAATTAAAAAAATTATATATATATATAATTTATATATATGTATTATATATACATATATAATTAAAGATACAGGTAAAGGCTATAAATATCTCAAAATGTAGAAGTTAACCTTTCTCTTTCCCTAACCAAAAGAGAAATAAAAGAATGAAAAAGTTTCCGTTGTCTGGCCATAAACTTGGTCTCTGTTTGTAGAACAAAGCAATGTGCAACTGAGATCTTACAGTCATACAAATATCTTAATTGTCTGAATATCCTCATTAAATTTAAATTAAGGATTGAGTTTTGTCAGTGAGGAAGAACAGAGGCAGAATAAAATTGTAAATCACAAAAATCAGTATCTATTTTTATATAACTGAACTGTTTTTTCTGAATTAAAGAACTGAGTATATTTAATAAGATTGGAAGAGAGTGAAAAAAATTATTTTTCTAAACACTTGATATAATTATAAAGAAAAATTTGGCAACACTACAATAATCTTTAAATTTAGAGAGATAAAGCTAAGCAAATTAAATGTAGAAACATACAACAAAGAATGAATATTCTTAGAAATAAAGTCTGTTAAAATCTGTAATAAAATTCTGAATCTAATCTCAATAGCTCAGCAAGTATAAAATAAAACAAACATTTCTCTCACACGTCTCTCTCTCTCTCTCTCTCTCACACACACACACACACACACCACACACACACTTTCTCAAAGTAATGGCTAATAATTACATAGAAAAATAAATCAAATAACATAATGAGTAAACATATAAAAAAGAAGGCATACAATAAATTGACAGAATAATTAATGGTGATACTCAGTGAGGTTTTAGCAAAGCAAACTCTCTAGCACAGTATTGGTGAAATATAAATATCTATAACACTTTCCAAAGCCAATTAGCAATCTCATTAAAACTTCTTAGGTTTGAAATAGTAAATCAACTACAGCTATTCTAATACAATGAATAAACCATCAACTAAAAGAAAGCTTTACAGTAACAGTTGCTATTGTTTATAAAACATCTACTTCATGCACCAAATTTCTGCTTTTCACAAAGCAGAAGATAGTGTGACCTACTAAAAGCTAATAAACAGTACTGGAAATAGGTATAAGACATCCGTGCTTCTCAGGATTGTTTCATCATTGTCTACTATTTTTCTTAACTGGAAATGATATATACATCCACCAAAAAAATAAAAAAGGTAGTAAGTCACATAATAGTACCTTCACATGATAGATTAATATGATGTATTAAATGAGGGTCATTAACAAATTTCAATAATATGATATAGTATTATCATATATGTATAATATACAAGTATATGTTACAACAAATATAAAAGCAGTATATAAAATATCATGCCTAGTATTAATTCAAACCCATGAATTACTAACCAAAAATATACTATAGCCCTGGTCAGTGCGGCTCAGTTGGTTAGGTGCCATCCTATGCACCAAAAAGGTGACAGTTCCATTCCCAGCCAAGGCTCATGCCCAGGTGCTGGATGAATATCCAGTAGGGGGCATGCTGGAGGCATCTGGTCAATATTTCACTCTCACATTGACATTTCTCTCTCTCCCCCTCTCCTTCCTTCTCTCTCTAAAAATCATTTTAAAAAAATTACACATATATATAAAATATATATAATAATAAATATATATTTTTATATATACATATATAAAAAATAAAAGGCTACATTAAATACCAACAGCAGTTTCCTTTGGTGAAGAAATTAAGGATGAATTTTGCCCTTCTTTTATACATAGGGTGAAGCAAAAGTAAGTTTACCAATCTTCGAGTGGAAAATAATGCAATAATTAATAAATAATAATACAAGAATAAACTGTTTTGCACTCACCACTGTAAACCAACTTTTGCGCCACCCTATATTTTCTATAATGAGCATTTATTATTCGCTATTTTAAGCCTTCTTTTTTTATTCTTTCAGATTGCACACTTTAAAATTAAAAATTTTAGATAGTGAAGATAAGGCTCATGAAGTGCCAACATCCTAAACTGAAGAATAATCTATTTACAAGTTGGTATATGTTGATACATGTTCTGGTAGACTTTATAACACATGACTGTGGGTAGAGATTATATGTTTGCATGTTTGTGTGTATTTTTAAGATAAATAGGATTATATTAAATATTATTCTGCTATTTTTTCCAGTTAATAAGGTACCACATAAAGCTTTATTTTTATATCATTGCCATTAAAGTGAAGAACATGTTTCCATAACTCATGGAACAAGTACATAGGGACCAGTCACTCTTGAAAAAGGCATTTTCTGCCCGGACGGTGTGGCTCAGTGGTTGAGCGTTGACCCATGCACCAAGAGGTCACTGGTTCAATTCCAACAGGGGCAGCATATGCCCAGGTTGTGGGCCAAATTCCTAGTGGGGAGCATGCAGGAAGCGGCCAATCGATGTTCTCTCGCATCGATGTTTCTATCTCTCTCTCCCTTTTTCTCTCTCTAAAATCAATAAAGGAAAAAAACATTTTAAAAAGAGAAAGGCATTTTCTCCAAAAGTTCTGCTACATCAGGCTCATGGACTTGCTACAATTATTTATTTATATGAATGAATGAATGAATGAATGAATGAATGAATGAATGAACAGAGTAGTTCCCTGCTTAAATTCCATAAAAAAATACAAATTAATTAGTATTTCTTTGCCCATTTTTCTAGATAAAAACCTGTCAAATGGGCCTTATGATGTCAGAGTACCCTTTGGGAAGAAGTTAAATAAATAAATCATCTTTTTGATGTATGTGGCAAAGGCTGTCCCCATGTTATTTCATGATTTAAGTTTGTCAATCCCGCCCAACCTTGACTCTTGTAAACATACTTATCATAATAGAGCGAGATTTGATACCAGAACACTTCCGTGCAACATAATTATGAGATAGCCCCAAATAATTGCATGTTTGTCCTAATATGTATAAGTAGCAATATGTATAGAGGTGCCAAATAAAACTGCAATCAGGTGGACAGCACACTGTGGGCCAGAGGTGCTGTTTCAACGGCACCCTGTTAGACTTTTGGGTTTCCTGAGTGAGAGGTTAGCCCAAAACAGTTTTGCCATGAAGACGTGTGTCTCTGAAAACTTGCCCATTCACTGCCACTTTTAACAGCAGAGATAAATGAAGCTCATTAGCTGTCACAGTATCTGAGCCTAAAGAATTGGTGGTCCGTCACTTCCCCGATGTCTGACTTACCGAGGAGGAAAAGGCTGGAGCGTTCCTTGGATCATGTATCCCACTAAGGATCCACAGTCATCTGCTCACTCAAGCCCAGCTCTCACACAACACTGCGAAAAAGAAAAGACAAAAATGACCCTGTTTTTTAAAAGATGTTGTGGCTACTGCTTATCAATTCTAGAAAGTTCTATTAGTGCCATGCACAACCACATGGAGCTGCTTTAGCAATGTAAGACTTAAAACAGTGACACAGGATAACTTAAAAATGACAAACAGGATAGTCCTAGCTTAAATGATATCCTTGCACCAATGGATTTCTTTCTTCAGACAAGGAGAAATAAAAATTCAAAAGCTATTAACCTATGAAAACAAATCTCAGAAAACAATAGAAAGGGCTATCATTTCAAACCCATTTGAATTACTTTAAGCAGTTTAAACATCAGAGTCAGATTGATAGTGTGAATTTACCCATTTTATGATGGCTTTCTCATGCCTTTTGTGAGGGGGAATACAGTAAGATAAGTAATACATTTTTTAAATAAGAGATTAAAGGCTGAAGATTTAGAATAAACTAACACCAAAAATTTGAGTTTGTATTTTTATTTACACATTAACTTATTTGGAGCACAATATGACACTTTATAGGAAAAAAAATTATAAAGCATAAAAATGACTCACTTTACTAAAACCAAGCCAAGACGTCCAATCGCCCCATCCAACTTAACGTACAAAATCCTGAAAACTTGATGTTGTAATGACAGAAAGTCTACCACAAAGCACCAGCTTCGGTAGAAACATATGTTCCAGTACCTGGGTTACTTCCCACTTCTCATTCATAAAGAAAATGTGTCCATGTGCTGTGTTTTTTTGTTTGTTTGTTTGTTTTGTTTTAATGTTTTTATTGATATTTTAGAGAGAGAGGAAGGGAAAGAGAGATAGAAACATGAATATGAGAGAGAAACATCTATCAGCTGCCCCCCACTGGAGATCGAGCCTGCAACCTGGGCATATGCCCTGATCGGGAATGGAACCAGGACCTCTCTGTCCATTGGATGACACTCAATCCACTGAGCCACACCGGCCGGGCAGAACGGTGTCCATATCACTTCAGGATTTCAAATACTGCACTTCAGGGCTCATACTTTCTCTGCTGTCCTTCTTCACACAGTTTCTTTCTACGCTCCATGCTCTGCAGCTTCTGGCTGCCATAGACCCGGAGCATGCTGATGTTGCCTCTCCGAACACACACACTTAGGCAGCAGCTGAGAATAATGGCAAGAAAAGGAGAACTTCCTGGAACATTCTGGAATGTTCTGGCTATTCCTCTATTTAATATTTCCCATATCATCTCCCTCGGTAATTATCTAAAAGCCATCTGCCTGCAGAAAAGAAACTGAATGACAGCATCTGGCAATTTGTAAAATTTTGTATCTGCTAAAGGGCAATTTTGAAGTCCCCCGGTTCAGAGGTCAGAAGGGAGTGGCTAGGTCACACCATCTCTGTGAGAGGCTCCTGCCCCGGAGGTGCCTTTGGCAAGGGAGTGATCCAAAGCATTGCATTCAGAATTGCCCAAGAAGGTACCCACAGCCCAGGTGCCACTGAAACACTGCAGGGTCCGGATCCTGACACGGTCCCTGCAGAGCCTTTGCAAGTTCATGACATCATCCTTTGGAAAGGAGAAGGCGCAGATGCAAATCCTTGAGTCCAAAAGAGGAGTGAGGGAGCTCTCCCCAAGGTAAGGAGGCATCCTCCACCCAAGAAACATTCCTAGAAGCAGCCAATTCGTCCTTACAACACCAATAATATCTCTTTTGGGTGTGGCAGCAAGTACGTTGAGACTTCTTTATTAAACAGCATCTTCGAATATTCCAACGTTCTCTCTAGAGCCCTAAAATCTATTTTCTAATTAGTACTAAAACTTCCTTGTATTTGTGTGCATCTTAATCAAAATTTAAGTAATAAAGTTGGACAGATCCATTGGTTGCTGCCATGAATACCTGGAGATTTCTATTGGTTCCCATGTGACAGAATTAAATTAAAAACTGAGGGCTGATAATTAGATCTGGAGGCTGAGTTTTCCTATCTTCCCCTTCGAGGTCATAAATTAGGCGATGAGGCCCCTTAGCTAGGACATCCAAGAGTCAGGCCTGCAGAGGACGGCCATCCTCTTTAACGGCAACAGCGACAGAGGCCAAAGAGGATGTTGTAAGAATTCAGAATCCTTGATGCAACCAGACAATAAATACTGCAGGAAGAGAACATCCCTGCTGAATCCAGGCACTTCCTTGGAGAAGGCAACGCTCAAGTGCAGGACGCCTAGCGCAGAACTCACACAGCTCAGGGACAACACGACTTCCTTTGGAATCTGAACTCCAAACCAAATCCCAGTTCCAACAACAGGATTCGGTCTAACACACGCTGAAAGGTTTACTATGCCAGCATTTATATCAATAATTAAAAAGACATTTTACCACTCAGGGGCATGAAGGCCAGCGAACAGCATCAGGACCTTCTGCTCCATTAGGTCAACCCTTGCCCCGGTAAAGTTCCACCTTCTAGAGGCACATACATTAGTCAGTACGACATCCACAGGTATGAGCAGAAACCACAGCAACTATGCAGTGACCTTGAATAGGAGCTAAGTTAAAGTCACAGACAATGGCCCCTTCAAATCTAAAGGCCAAGCTAGCCCATCCTCCTCGGTGAAGTCATACATCAGCTGATGTATAAATCACAAATCCCTGACACATTTTCTAGAAAATGGAGTAGATACAGAAATGGCAAAGCCTCAGAAGCTGGCCTCAGACTGGAGGGTGAAATATTTTAAGGTGGATATTTAACTATCCATTAAATAAGAAATGTCTCCATTTGACTCAATTCCATGTTATTCTTATTTTTTTCTCTTTTAGCTTAGCATCACCTTTAGTAGAAATGACCTCAGAAGTCCTCTGCACCAAAATTCTCAGTTACAACCTTGTCCCCAAAAGCCTGCCCCAGACAAACACCCGTGCAGAATTAGCCCCCAGAAGTACCCTACAGCCACCTCCACAGACTCTTAAAATTGTGTCTAAACCAAAATGCATGAATAAAATGTAAACATCAGTCACAATGCACTAAGTGCTCCTCAACCCAGGCCCCTCTGCACAAACGCGACCTACACGCGGCCCATGATATTTAGAATGAGAAAAAAAGTGGATTTAAACATTCTCCTACAGATCAAAGGTTAGCTGAGTAGTAGCCATTATCCTTCAGATACATTAGAGAAATTACAATTTTAGTCCAGTGTTAAGAGTTCAATTTAGAAACCAGCCACAGTAAAATAACAGGAAATAAAATAAAAATGGATGAGACCACCTGGAATCATTAAAGACATTTGGTGGACAAGTGGAAGAAACCCCACCAGTATAGACTCAGGAAACCTATAAGCTGTTGGACTAGGGTTTCCCAACTTTCAAGAATTTTACCAGTGACCACGAAGTTTGAGAGACATCTAGTCCTCAGTTTCCCACCCCAGGGCCATTCTAGGCAGGAAGAAGACAAAGCAAGAACCGAGTGTGTTCCTGGTAGCTCACACCAGGCACTGTCTGATCCATGTGCTACACAATTCAGTAAAGCTCTGAAATTGGAGGAAAAGGAGGTTACTTCCAAGTGGAAGAGCCAAGAAAAGTTTCCTGAAAGTAGAGAAACGTGATCTGGGCTTTGAGGTATGGGTAGGATATTACAGTTGATGAAGATTAATTGAGTGGGGTGCATTACAAGTGAAGCAAATGGCAGATCAAACAGGAAGACCTGAGAATTCTCAGACAGAAGAAAGAGCCAATCTGGCCAAAGCCATGCTGAGACAGAGCATGAATGTCTGGTAGTACCCTTGGGATAGGGTTAATGAATGCAAACCCCAACCTTGGGCCATATAGGAGAGTGGACTGAACTGGGACAGGTGAAGCAAAGCAACTCTTCTACGGTGGAAAGTCAGGACTGGAGCGCAGCAACAATCATAGGTGGAGAGTTGGCCTCGTGCTCAAGTTTGTGGAGGAAAACAAGAAAGCAAACTGAATGGGTTCCAAGTGGGAGGCTGAGGGGCAGGGAGGGGCCACATCAGGACTGAGTGGACCAGCAAGGCAAGCCTGACACAGGCTCCAACACATGGCCAGTGGGAAGAAGGCTTACAGAAGCTGCTTCATGACAAAGCAAGTGATCACAGAACAGTAACACAAGAAAGAGATGAGGCTGCACCCAAAGGAAGAGGGGTCATGGAAGTCTCAGTGGAGGCCAGGACCATAGTGTTTTGGTGGGGATCAATGTGGAGCTCTGCAGAGGCCAGACAAGGGGGGTAGAAACTGGGGGCCTGAAGCTCCACAGAACTTTAGATTTTAAAATTCTTTTTTTTTAAAGACTATAAATCATAGCCCATATTTGCAAAACATTAATTGTATAGAAACAGTCTAGAAACTGAGCCTGTACTAAATGAGAATGAATGTCTTTGAACCTAAGATAATACTGCAAACAATGAGAATCAGAATTTTCTTACTAGGAATTAAAATACAAAATAAAACAGGATATTAGTGGTGTTTGCTCACCCATTCAATGCCCCTGCCTCCGTCGGGAGGAAGTGTCTGGAGAATCCACTACTCAGAGGTAGATGAGGGTGGAGGCCATCTGTTTACTCTCTGTGTACATACTGCTCCCCTTTCAGACACTGTCCCTACCTTGGCTCTTTCTGCATTGTCGCCTTGGACTGTCTCTGTTGTTCCCTTCAAATATATGTGCCGCACTGGATGGTGCTTGAAGAAATCACAGTCTTCAAAGATGCTGTCTGAAAGAAGGTGGGCATAATGCCACAGCTACATGGAAGGGCTCTGGATAATAATTAGTAACCAGCTAATTATTTCTGTACAAATAATGTCACACATTGGTCAAGATCATTTAACAAAGAATCTCTTTGATAATCCCTTGTGTACATTTAAAAAGGACAAGTGCCAGATGTCACAATTTCCCTTCTTTGAATCTGCGACTATCTTGGAGACCAGCCCCAGTGATGGCTGGGGTTTCGTGGACAGTGCGTCCTCACAGGGAGCACAAGTCTTCACATTTGGGTCATTTAATGATGCAA